TAATGTATCAAATGCGATCCGAATTAACCAAGGTGGAACTGTTTTATCAAACGATCAATTTATAATCCATACTCGACAAGTTTCTATATCTTCGAAATCGGTTTTGCAAAACATCTTTTTGCAACCTCCACGAGCAGTTTCAAGACCTATGCTAACGAACGTGTAGCGTTCTTATATGCAGTAATCAATGGTAATGCGAAGCACGACGCTTCTTGAAAGGAGATAGTACACGAATAACCCCTAGTAAAACAGCTCTAATTTTCTTCTCACCCTTGCTAACGAAATATGGTCTAACAAATGCCGCAAAGTCTGATAAACTGACATTCTTCCCTTCTTTGACTAGATGCCAGAATTTCCGAATACTATTGAACGAATCAACATCCTTCGCAACTTCCTTCTTCGTCTGGAAGCCATACAATTTCCATGGCAATCCAGAAGATGAATCCCAATTCAATCAAGATCTTTTCGGGGTAAGTCATCAAGATGTATCGGACGGACTGGCTTTGAGTAACCTGAAAGCGTAAAACGCATCTTGGATAACCTCATTAAGTAAAACATCGGGAAACTTGGACGTGCTGCGACCACGACAAGATTGAATATCCTCGCGAATATCATCAGTGGTAATAGAACTCCTGACCAAATCCTCAGCATGTCTAGCCGCCCATTGTGGACAATAGTATGTTTTTTTTTTTTTTTTTTTTTTTTTTTATGTGGAGGAAATCTTCGATAAGACAGCTGAGTCTTTTAAGGGAAGACCCAGGTAGTGGTCGGATCTTTACCGACTAAAACCTCCACAATGGCCGTCCTCCGCACGTTGGGAGAGCTCTTCTTGGATCTTTTTAGACACACAGAGCTCTCCTCGTGCTGTTGTCCTGAAGGACAATATCTTTTCTTTTTTTTCCGCCCGAATAGGGGTTCGAACCCTGGACCCTCAGATTAAGAGTCTGATGCTCTACCGACTAAGCTATCTCCACCTCTAGTATGATTTTGTTCTAGTGTAATGGCGTTGCATCTGCATTACCAATGAATGATATACTAGAAAATCGTATTTTTCTTACTGAAATTTTCCCAAATGCTGTGACGCATCCCACGATGATCTCCAAAGATGTTCTTTGCTGTATCTAACTTTTCTTCTACCTACGATCTGTTCAAGCGTCAAAAACAAACGACCAACAGTCATACCAACCCAAAATGAATTTTCAAATGGTTTTTTATTTTTTAAAAATAATCCCGCGTGATTTTCACATTGATATATACTTTCTCACTGCGATATTATCGTTCAATTAATAAATTCTTCGAATTTACAGTGGTCAAAGCATATCCATCTAGCATAATGCAACGCTTTTCCTTGTCACGACACTGTCGCCACTTGTCCGTGGTTATTCAGTAGCTGCAGAAAACGCAAACGTAACAACAATTTCTTACGCAAACGCAAGATGACAAAACGTGCTTGTGGTTTTGTTGTATTTCGACGTATTCGAGGAATGATCGAGTATCTCCTCATGCAAGTGTCTTACGGCGAGCATCATTGGACACCACCGAAAGGTTTGTGATATAATTCGTTCATTTTCACGTTACTCGAGCACCTAACCCTCCACGAAGAAATAGAATCGAATTTCCTTTTCTTTTTTCTTTTTTTTTTCGCAAAGCATAAAATGCGACAGTGTGACTTCTGTGCATGCTGTGCAATGGTATTTTTCGATGCGTTTTGCATAAATGTCTGTACTTTGCTCGCAGGTCACGTCGACCCTGATGAATCGGACATGGAAACCGCATTACGTGAAACAAAAGAAGAAGCGGGCTTATCGGCTAGCGATTTGAACATTTTTGAAAACGTGAAACACGAACTGAATTACCATGTGAATGGAAAGCCCAAGGTTGTCGTTTATTGGCTAGCGGAGTTACTAGACCCTGAGAAACCTATCCGATTGTCGGACGAGCATCAAGCGTTTAAATGGCTCTCACTCGAAGAGGCTTGCGCTGTAGCAAAGTATCAAGACATGCAAAACGCGTTAAAAAATTTTAATGATTATATACTAAAAAATCTCTCGTAACGTAATATAAAATGTTTTTAAAATGATGCAGGTACGTTCTCCGCGAGATCTTCGTAATTTCATCGTTGATTTTTCTTTGAATGCATTCCCTAATGTTTTTTGTGATTACATTATATCGATTCGCAAAGAACTGTCAACGTCAGAGTTTAAGTGCAGTTTTAATCATTTATTCCAGTAACCAACTTATGTCAAAAACGATATTTCGTGACACTTTATGTTTAAACGTTGGTACGAGCAACTATCGCGTTATCACGTATTCTTTTCATTTCCAATAGTAACATAACCTCGTTACTTCAACTTAGTCCTCACGGATAATTGCGAATATGATTAATCCGCTTCAAAGAATATTTTCTTTTTTAAAGTATTGGTACTTTAGATATATGCTTGTTACGGAGTTGTATATGGTTGAAAAATGGGAGAGGAATTTTATCAGTATCCTTTTAAGAATGTATATGACAATGATAACGATGTTTTTATTATAATATATAAGTAATTCCACATATTTCAAAATCTTGTAACAAACTGATATTTATGACCAATGAAACATTTGAAAATTAATATGTTATTCCTACATGTTATATACAGATATATTTTTCATCATATTGTTCTTTTCGTTCTTCTTCTTTAATTGTAAAATAGTGCTACCTCTTACACAGTATGTGTTTCATCCAAAAGAAATATTACTTTAGTTCTCTAAATTTATTATAAGAGAAACCGATATGTTGTTGCACTTTACAAAGCAGAAACATCTGTAATTATTATTATGTATCAAGCTAATAGTAAATTTCTGTATTTAAAATCATACGTTAATCTATTGATTGTATAAAGATACATCTCTCTATTCAGAATGTATTATGTTATATAACTATTCCTTTTGTATCTAATAAAATATTGATCTTTTTCAAATTGTAATATAAGTAATCTAATAATTAATCTGCCAAAGTTTAAGATTATTGCGTACATTTAGAATACTTAATCATTTATATTTAATAAAGTATCATTTATATTTAATACCAATGAATACCAACATTGTATTACAAATAAACAAAACAAGAGGATCAAACTTCCTGAAAACTATAAAGTAATGGGTATATTTCAATACAAAACAATTCAAGACAATGATGTTAGATCTCAGGTATTTTAATTCTTTTTAAACGTAATAATAATGTATAAACTAAATTATATTTCAAGTGATTAAGTTAAGTTGACATGTTACAAAGAAAAATAGAACACGATAAGAAAGATTTGATATTGCTAAATTATATAACTTAGAATGCTAATTATAAAACTTAGATTGTGCAGTATATTTTAAGCTGTTATTTTAATGTATTTACATGTTACTAGTCTTTTTTTCTTGTTTTTCAATTAATGTGTAGATGTATTTGTGATGCAAATGTAGGAGATCATGATAAAATGAAAAACAACAATTACTGTGTCGATTATACTAATGTTTCACTTTATGTTGAATATGCGTAGGAGTTGTTCGCTAATATATATTATGATCCTTTTGTTAAGCGCAAAATGTTTCGCAAACAATTTCAATCTCTAACATTATAATATTATAAATAAAAAAATGTGGTAATTCGAAATCAATCTTTACAGACACAGATAGCAAAAAATGTAATTCTAATCGCAAGTATGCAATATAATACAACGTGAAGAAAAAGAAAGGACGGAGATTACTAGACAAAAAAGATAGTTTTTCGAATTTTGCAATATTTACGAAAAATTAATTACAGTTTTTATATGTATCGATACCTGTGCAGTGATTAGTTCTGCTATCTATCTGTGTGTGTGCGCACGCGCATATGTGTGTATGTAGCATATATCACCGTAATAAAATGATAGATACGAATGCAAAATCAGTAAAATAATGCCTGATAAACTCTATTAAATATGAATACAGAGATTTACATTAAAGGTAAATATGATATGGATCTTCCATCTGGTTGTAAATCATTCTCGGTATCTAATCGCCTAACTCGTACTCTTTGTTTGTAGTGATATTCCTTGAGATAACTCTTAAGCGTCTTTGGCAATTGTAACTTATTTATACCGTCATATGTCGTCCGTGTCGTAATTACTGCTCGACATAAATGTTGTAAAGGGAAAGCGAAATTTCGATGAAATGGTATAGTAAGCATAGGTTCAAAGAACATAGAACATGATGGATGTTTATAATGCTCGATCAAACCGCATACCTGAAAAGAAATGAACCGGATGACACTTTATCCATTTATATGTACTTTTTACTTGTAGTATATCTTTCAAAATACAATTGTATTCTATACCGTTTCTGAAGCATAAACTCCTGGATCGTGCGAATCGAAACTAAATTTATGATTCCACTGCTCGATTCGGGCATGCAACGATCGTCCATATTTTCGAAAACTAACAGAAAAGATGAATTCCTCTTGAGCTGAATCACGTAACAAGAACGTGCCTTCTTGCTTGCCTTCTAATAAACGTTCAGCTTCATATCGATCCATTTTACCCCAATAAAAAGAACAAGCGGTAATTGATCTAAGATCTGGCACAAGACAATGAACATAATCAACCTGTGAAAATACACAGACTGGTTAACAATCATTGATTTAATCTAAATTAATTGTTTCTTCTGTTTAAATATGTTAGTCTACCTGCGTATGTGCTGGCCTTTCAATATTTGGAATTAACGTAAAGTCGATTTGCGATAACGCTGTGAGCGCAGCAGCCTGTATACCCGCATGCGCTTGGAACAAAGCTGCTAAACTATCTACTGTTATCCCATTTGGATGTACTTGAATTCCCGAAGGATAGTTAGGTTTATAACCAGGAGGGGGTTCGACACCTTCCTCCATTTCTCGTGCACGTTGTAGCCGTGCTCTTTTGTCACAATCCTGCAACAAAGATTATTAAAATCTGTTCCCAAGTCTTGCACGGATCAAATCGTGAATGCAACGACAAGACATACTTCCATTGGAAATTCTTCCGGATTAAATCTTGAAAGATCAATCACAGGACTGGGTGGAAGTGGTCCCAGCACTGGGCTTTGAGGAGCAGATCGACTATTAAATATAACACCAGCTCCCATTGGGTGTTCTTCCGTTCTTCTATAACCAGTGCAAACGCAATCTAAACTGTTATTCCCTTGACTAGGGATAATATCTGTGCTTTTAGAACTTTTGTTTTTAGCACAGTTAAACTTTAATACCCAGCTACTCCTTTTCTTTTTCGAAGACAGAACATGAGTACAAACTGGGCTTTGATCTTTATTGCGTTGTTTACCTAATAATATTAAATTTCGTATCAATTTCGTATCAATTTTAGCATCATATATAAATCAAATAAACACACAAACATGAAAAGATATGAAAAATATATTTTTTACCTTTTCGTTTTCCAAACGATAAAGTTTTAGAAGATCTTCTTAAAGGAGGATTAATGGGACTATCTTCAGAACTACTACTAGTATTACTACTTCCTGAACTACTGCAACATGCTTCCTGTTGCTTAAAACATATCTCTCTAGTAATATTTCCATTATTACAAATTTTCTTTGAATCCTGCGCTTCGATTGGTTGACTATATAAAGTTTCAAATCTAGAATTGTGATTATCTAGATCTAAATTTAAATTATCGTTATCCAAATTCCCATCTGTCTTGCATTCTTCGTGTAGGATCAGACTCAGATTCAATAAATTTTCTATATCATCCTGATTCATCATCTTTAACTGAGTTGGCTGAATAACGTTAGTACATGCTTCGGAAGACTGCCTTTCACTATCCATTCTAAAAAATTCTCTGAGACTAGCGAAATGCTGTCCCATTATTGAATGGTTTGACAGGCATCTTATTGCCCTCAAAAGTATTTCATTTCCATTTCTCTTTTATAGAAATGTCATAAACACTTTTACATCATACAACATCATTGTATCATTACATCAGATAAATTCACCGATCAATAGAAAGTCTTGATTATCTGTAATAAAATATGCTACTTTTAAAATTGATTACGACAAAGTTTATCTTATCTCAATATGCTAAAAGCAATTGTCACTTCTCTGCAAAACAATTACCTATTCTTTGTGAAATAATACTGTATCAATTTTCAACAACAAAGAACAACTTATTTATCGACAAACATAAATTTCCTCTGGTTGAAATATGAACTTGAATTATATATACATATTTACTTTATTTAACATAATCTCTTCGCGGAGGTTGTTAAAAAAAATTATTTAGACGTTTATAACGAACATTTCTTAATGGCAGCTACTCGAAACACGTCGAGACAGGTTTTGACAAGATTTTCTTCCTCAACTTAGGCACGTTCATCGACAGATATTTTCAGTCTTTGTTAAAGTGTATATTTCACAATACGGTTGAAGACATATCTTGAAATATAACACGCTTCTCTCTCAATTAGTGTAACGAAAGAAACAAAATTGTCAAAACATCTCCTAATACATTGTCAGCCATTTTCCCTAACTGATTCCCCCTTATGCATCATTGGTAAGATACAAACTAGATAGCGTCTCGTGCATTCGAAAAAGCAAATACATTTTAGGCTGATGATACATGAGCATTGAAATAGGAAACGTTAAGAGGACATTCGTCGTATTTACGCTGAACGTGCGCTGCATCGTTTCATGTAAATGTATATGAACACAGCACACAAGAAAATTGGATAAAATTAAAAGACAGAGACTATGAATCATCGGGGCTATTACTTGAGGCTATTTCCTCAAGAAAAAATTAGAGCACTTCCAAGAATTATTTAATACGTATAATATATTTTTAAAATAAATGTTATTGTAGCATTGTACTACCATATAAATTTAGAATCTGTTTTTTATTTACAGATATTTACAAATATCGTTTGTTTATTTTCATTTTATTTTTTATTTGTAAATAAAATCAAAATGTAAATGAACAAATGAAATTCGTAAAAACAAAAATTCAAAGCCGTCGAAAATTTTTTGGCAAAATTTTTTGGAAAAACTTGTATATATCGAGGTATATCTCATCTGTGATAAAAATTTATGAATTCTTAAATAATTAAATTTACGAATAACGTTTAATTTCTTCCAATTTGAAATTTGAATTCAGGAGTTGTATTTGATTAGTTAAAATCCCAATATCCTGCCTTTGTTTATTTTTTTTACATCATTTATATTTCCAAATATACGTAAGATAGAAATTACACATTTGCAACGTATGCGTGTAACGTGTAATAAGAGCACTTTTGGAAACGGATCAATGTTTCAAATATCATTTTAATCGTAACTTTGTTCGTTTTAAATTTTTAAAAATCCATATATGATGAGTAATATAAATTTTTATCTAAATATAATTATATCCAGTCTATCCATATGAATTTTTTTATAATTTTCATTTAAAAATTATTACCGCTTTATGATCATTTTCCACAGAAAACCAAAATAATCATGAAATCCCGATGAATCAGATATACAATATATGTAATACGTATTTAATTTTGGCGTTAACTTTAAACGAAATTGTGCATAAAAACTTAATAAATTATAGAATTAATTTGAAATAATAGAATTATTATTAATTCATTATTTTCCTCAAAATGTGAGACATTGAATGTCAGATTTTTTTTGTATCTTGCTTGTGTATGATTTCTTGATCATAAATCTTTATGACAAGAATACGCTTATCAAGCTGTGATAAAGTGACAACAGAGCTCTCAACACGAATCAAATATTTCTGTAATAGACGAAAATGTGCTTCTTCACATAAAATAGTTGTTGTATTTAACAATGGAAGTTAACAAAAAGTATGTAGCTTTAGTTACTGGATTTGGACCATTTGGCAATCATGTTATTAACGCCAGTTGGGAAGCTGTGAAGGAATTGAATAAATTATGTACTAATTCGCACGAGATGATGGACGTTGAAGTAATTATAAAAGAGATTCCGGTTTCATACCAAGATGTAACAGCATGTATACCTAAGCTTTGGGAGGAATATAAACCTATGGTAAATTCTGATTTACAATCAACTTACAATTTAGTTAATATAATTTTCTATTTTTCCTTTGTTTTTTTATTAGGTAGTTATACACGTAGGGGTAAGTCACAAAGCACAATGTTTAACCATAGAATGTTGTGCTCACAGTAATGGCTACAG